CAGGGAGGAAGAACAGTATATACAAAGACCCAGAGGTCTGTTTCTGGAATATTCTGCCTGTTGTGCTGTAGTAGGTGAGGTTTTTTTTTTTCCCTTGAGGAATTGTAAATATTTTTGACACCCTCTCCTTTCTCCTGCATCTTTCACCCTTGCCCTCCAATCCCAACACACTCACAAAAAAAAGGCAGTTTGCTTCTTTCAACTCCATACTCAAAAGCATGCACCTGGCCCTGTACTCAATCATGAACTTGGCTCCTGGGAGCAATGACACTAGTTACTTGTCTTCCATTTCCCTCCATACTCCCCCATCCCACCCTCTTGTGGTTGGGGGAAGCCTTTGTCCAACATCTTTTGTTTAAAAGGATTAATTGCCAGCTCCCAGTGCCTGTCAGTTTCTTTTAGGGAACTTTATGCAAATTAGGCTCCAGGTGGCCTGCCCTGATTTCCCAGAGTTCCCCTGGGGCAACACTCTATTAGGACCTTCACTACAAATAACATTTATTAAGCCCACTGAAGTCTCTTAAGAAGTTACTGGACTTGAACAAAAGTACTCAGTTAATAACAGAGTTGCTCCTGTTCAGTGTTCTGCTGTGATACGCTGCATCGTTGTTCAAAATGTTTTTCCTTTTAAAGGATTTTTCTTCTCAGTATTATTTCTATTAACACGGTGTCCCCTTTTCAATATTTATTTATTTATTTATTATTTATTTTTTTTATTTTTTTTAAGAGAGAAAGACAGAGCATGAGCGGGGGTGGGGCAGAGAGAGAGGGAGACACAGAATCTGAACCAGTCTCCAGGTTCTGAGCTATTAGCACAGAGCCTGAAGTGGGGCTTGGACTCACGAACTGTGAGATCATGACCTGAGCTGAAGTCGGACACTTAACTGACTGAGCCACCCAGGCACTCTGACACAGTCCCCCCTTTTAAGAAAACAACTAGCATCTTGAATAAGAAAACCAGCCAGTCTTTAAATTTGAGTTCATCAATGCATTCATTCCTCCTTCCACACATAGTTCTTGAGTGCCTACTTAGGGTGTTCAGCTACAAGTTTAGAGGATTTGAGGTTGAACAAGACCAACATTGTCCCTCCTCTCACAGAGCTTACAGTCTAGCAGAGAAGGAAAATTAAAATCATTTTCAAGGCCAAGAGCAGAGACAGCTTAGGGAAAGCCTCTCAGGGGGAGTTCCTGAGAAGAAGGGACCAAAAGGTGGGGAGGATTAGCTAAATAAAGGGATGGGGGAAGACAGCTGATAAAATGAGACACGAAATACTTTGCAAACTGTGTGACAGCAGACGTGTGAAAGACCATGTGGTTATTAATCACACGCTCCTCCATAGCTCTCCAATCTTTGTCTCAGGTCTCCATTCCACTAAGCTCCTTATCTCTGCTCCTTGCTCTGAACAATCTCTCTTTTATTCTGTGTAACTCTTGGTTTGTGGATGTTTATTCTATTGTTAAGTTATTAGGACCCTTTTGGGCTTGCACTAGAGACAGGAGCATTTCTGGATACAAGAGTGACCTGATTATTATCTTGGCTGCCTGGAAAGAGATATCTCAGACCAGATCTTGGAGCTGACACAGATGCAAGGGGGTGGCAGAATGGGATTTGGTGTCTCTTGATCTTAATTCTGAAGGATGAAATATGCATGGAAGTCAGGCAAGAGGTGGCTTGTAATAGTGTTTTTCAAACTTTTTTTGATTGAGACCCATAGTAGGAAATACATTGGCACAGCAACTCAGGATACACATGCATTACTGAAACAAGAGTTTCCCAAAGTATATGCTTTGGGAAAAATTACCCTCATTATGTGTGATACAATCTGATATTTTATACTTTGGATTCTGATTAGTGTTTTGCAGGGTGGCAATCTATTAATGGTTATAAAATCAACTTACTGGGTCATGATGGGTGCCTTAAACAATGAAATAGAAGCATCCATGCAAAGACAGGCTGGGGAATAATGAAAAAGATACCTATGGAATCAGTCTTTAGGAGCTAGAATTTAATTTTTGGACTTTCTGAGTCTCTGTTCCCTTTTTTTTTTTTTTAAAGTTCATTTATTTATTTTTGAGAGGGAGAGTGCAAGCTGGAGAGGGGCAGAGAGAGAGAAGAAGATACAGAATCTGAAGCAGGCTCCAGGCTCCAAGCTGTCAACATAGAGCCTGACATGGGGCTTGAAACCATGAACCATGGATGAGCCCAAGTCGGATGCTCAACCAACTGAGCCACCCAGGCACCACCCCCTGAGTTTCTGTTTCTTGTATTGTTACATGAAACTTCATACGGATCGATGGTTATGGCTGTGGATTCTGGAGAATGGATTCAAATCTTGACTTTGCTACTTAGGGGCTGTGTGATGTAAGATACTTGACGTAGTATCCTGTACCCTGTTTGCCTTGTGTGTAAAATGGGAATAATAACAGCATTTATCTTATCCATTTGTAAGGATTAAGTGAGATAATGCAGTGCCGGGTATATATAAACACTCAAATAGTAGCTATTATATTTCGACCTTTTATTTTCCCCTAGTATTAAAGTCCAGCTTTTCTCAGTCTGTAGTGTAGGACCAAGGGAAGTGTTATGAAGTAGAGTGTTCTGGGAGCTAGCTTGCTAGGAGCAGCAGATATCTTTTAAAATTTTTTTTTTCAACGTTTTTATTTATTTTGGGGACAGAGAGAGACAGAGCATGAACGGGGGAGGGGCAGAGAGAGAGGGAGACACAGAATCGGAAACAGGCTCCAGGCTCTGAGCTATCAGCCCAGAGCCTGACGCGGGGCTCGAACTCACGGACCGCGAGATCGTGACCTGGCTGAAGTCGGACGCTTAACCGACTGCGCCACCCAGGCGCCCCAGGAGCAGCAGATATCAAAGAGGAAGAGCCATCAGGGGAAATTGAAACCCCAAGGGCCAGAGCAGAGGCCCTTAGTCCCTCTGGTCCAGGGCTTGAATGTCCAGGGCTTTATTTTCTTGAAGAAATACGTTCTTCTTACAGTTCCTCTCTCTAATATCAACACACTTTTGACCCTAGCTCCTGGCTTCTTATTTAGGTCAGATTCCAGTTTGTCACAGAAACTTGACTAAATCTGGATGTGTATTTCCTCACAAATTTTTACTTGATGTTCCCTGAGGTTCCTCTTTGTTTGGGTGCCCTTTCTGCTTGTCAGTCTTTACTTAGCCACATTACTTCTTTCCTGCATCTAGAAATATCGGAAGTTTTTGTGTTTGCTTTTGCTTTAAATCTTGAGGTAGCAAGAGAAAAAATAAAAACCAAAAACGAGTAAGATGGGGAAAAAAAAAGAATGCATCCTGTTAAACCATCTTACAGAAGCAAAAGTATTCTATGTTAAAAACACGGAATGAATTTGATGTATACTTCTTATCCATTTCCACTCCAAAAAATGAGAGATGACATTTACTTGTGAAACACTCCCATAGGCACATCTGGAATCTCAAAAGAGAATTCCAGCTTTTGGCATAATATACATAAAACATTTTATAAGTATGTTAACACTGAAATTTACAATTTCTTAAAATTGTTGTTTTGCAAAGAAAAATATCAGTATCATTATTTTGAAAATATGTAGCATTTTTCAAAACTCCCCTATTTTCCCTACCCCCCCCCCCCCCCCCGCCGGGCGGGGGAATTTAGTGTTGTAATGATCATGTACAGACTTTACAAACTTTTTACGTTATTTGATAATACTTAAAACCCTGCATAAAAATATAGTAAGAGGTACAAATATTCTCCACATCAGAAACTTTTCAAAAATTTCGATTTCTCCTGAATACACATTTTTTTTAACCAGCTCAGATATCGAGTTAAAGGCTAATAATATTCTCCTGTAATCTCTCCTTTCTGTGAAAATACTACAGTATTTTCAATGAGAGTTTCAAAGTTTTATTTACACTGGAGCTGCCTGGCAAAATCCCATGCCTGATCTAGCCATTTGTCTTGATTCCAAGTATTTAAGAGATCCTTGCTATCTACAATATTTCCACCTTGGCGTTTACTTCCAAGGCCTGTTTTTCCCATCCTTTATTTTTCTCCCAGGACAAATGTGTCTGAGCCACTTTTAACCATGTTTATTGTTTTTCCCGCTTATGAGAGCAATGTAAGAATCCTACAAGCCAGAGATAATCTGTTAATACACTGTTGTTAGTTCCTCGGGCATTTAGTTTTCCTTCTACTGAGTCATCTTTTAAGCATAACTGGTCCTTTCTAAGAGCAGATATAAAGCATTGACCCGGGGCACTGGAAGGTACGGTCACAGGAGTGGGAGGCTGTGGAAAGTTTACACCCGCCAAGAAGTGTACGTATTTGTTTACACGGAACCACCGTTTGTTACTTTTAATAACGGTGAACGGTAATCCATAAGTAGTCACACAGAGGCCAAACGGGTTACCCAGTAAGAAACACACACTAAAACCTCTAAGACGGCGCCGGGACAAGGCGAGGTAGGCGGGCGCACTCTGGAACCAGCAGCCGGAGCCGGAGCCGGAAGGGCGGACTCGGAGGGGCGGGTCTAGCCATCGCGGGCGGGGCCTACCCAAGGCAGGTCCGGTTGGGGCGGAGCCGGGGGCGGGCCCGGGGGCGGAGCCGGGTGGGAGCTGGGCACGGCGGGAGAGCTGACTCCTCCCTCTCGAGGAGTCGCAGGCACCTGGTGAGGAGCTAACGGCTGTTTCCACACGTGGAGAACTTTTAATGAACACGTGAGGGAAGGAGGCAATGTCTGCGGAAAGTCTACCTCACAACTCTGGCGTCCGACTCCAACCCCCAGGGCGACAGCTAGTTCGATGTGTTCCTGGGGTGGGGGTGAGGTGGTCTACGCCCCTTTCCATTAGTGTCCCCTGCCCTCGGCCACAGGTTTTCTGAGAAGCTTTCTCAAGCAGTCCCCGCCCCAGGAGGCGGCCACACAGGCCACTTGCGCCTGCGCCTCCTCCCGGCGCCACACCGCGGGGGCGGAGCCGCCGAGGAAAGGGGCGTCTCTCCCGCCGTCGCGCGCAGGGCGGAGCCGTGGGGGCGGTGCGGCCGGGCGCCCAGAGACCTGACCTTCCCGAACGCCGGGTCCCGTGACGTCACCTCGCCGTGACGCGCACGCTGTAGGAAAACTGTAAGTTTCTAAGGATTCCTGCAGCTCCCTGGGCCTGCGGGGCTCGCTCTGTTGCTTGCATTCCCTGTGTCGGTGGTGGCTGTGGGCGTTTGATCATTGGGCGATTGGGGAGCCGCCGAACGTGGCGAAGGGACAGGTGCCCGCCCAGAGCGGGAGTGCACCTTCTGCGACGGGCGGGACCGAGAGTGCGGGGAGGCGAGGCCGCGCCCCGCAGGACAGGCCCTCACTTCTCCCCTGGGGCCGAGAGGGCTCAAGGAGCCTGCGACCGAGGACAGGGATGGAGGAGGGTCCACATGGGAGCGACCCCCTTTTTTTCCTTCTTTGATGAAGGGACTTAGATTCCCCTCAGCCCTGGAGTTTGACATGTGAAGTATGGTATGGAGGGTTTCTTCAGAGACTCCACATCTGGGCTTCTTTGGGGATTCTGCAAGTGACCAAATCGCTGAGGACCGGTTATAAAGATAGCCACCTGCTGCCTCAGTTTCCTTTTTGTGTAAAATGGAGGTAAAGCAGCCCCTGGCCTAATTGGCACTCGTACAGAACCGGGGACGTTGTGAGAGCACGTGAGGTAACACAAGCATGTAAACTTGGTAGGTGAAAGCTTAGAAAGGCAGTCCTTATTCTGAGAACGTGGTGGCCAATGGCCATTTAACAAAGGTCTGGTAGGTAGGGATCTTTCACAGTTTTGCCTCCTTAACCCCCTGGCGCCCACTGATCATGGACAACACTTGAGTCGGATGGGCGATCTGAACTGTTGTCACTGAACTTAGTGGAACAGGGATCAAGAAATGACTGGTATCCTTATCACAGTGTTCTTGACAATGGACAAATGAGATCCCCTTGTCTGGGTTTTTCAGAGAAAGCTTTCAGCTTGCTTGAACTAGTGCATTATACTCGACACGGGTATACTCAGTTTTAGAGTTGTTGTGTCCACTTGGAATAGCTGATGGTCATACTTGAATTTGAAAGTTTTGGCTTGCCAAGGGTTAGCACGTTATTGATGACTTAGTACTGTAATACTTCTCAAGTTCAGGGATAAGTATTTGTTAGGACCTTTGAAGGGAATTCTATTGTACACATCACAGGGTGTATTTATTCCAGAGATGGAGAGATCACATTTCTGTAAATCCAGTTTAACCTCCTTTGAGAAGGCTTAGAATTAGAGAGCAGGGGTTTTAGTCTTTGTTCTTCCACTTAATAACTTTGTGTCCAAGGACAGCTCACCCCAACTTGGGATTTTCTTTTCCTGTCTCAAATGGGAGATGATGGTGTATTTACTGTTGCTTTCTCAAGGAACCAATGAGAGGGTAAGTGTAAGGATGAAAGGGTTTCTAAGTGTGGTTATTGTTATTAAGAAACCTCCGTAGGTCCCCTAGCCTGGATAAGAGGTGTGTTCGTTCAGAAGTCAGGTTCTAAGTCAGAACTAGAAATACAGCAGCAAGCAACTATCCTGCGAGCTGGTGGAGCTCATTTTCCGGGGGGCGGGGGGGGGGAATGGGCTACAAAGAATAAGAACACAGTATTATTTCAGACAGTGATTAAGTAGAGTGAGGTGAAGGAAGGTAAGAGAATGGCAGTGGGGGAACAGAGCAGGTGTAGATAGGGTCTGTCAGGGAAAGCCTTCCGAAAGAGGTGACCGTCGAATCCATGAAACCGAGAGGAAGAGCGTGAGGTAAGAAGATTTCCGGCAGGGATCATAAGAGCAGTAAACACATGGACTCACTGTATTTGAGGTAGTCTTGTAAACACTAAATTTTTACAGCGAACTTACGAGGTAGGTACTTTTATCTCCCATTTTTGTGGATGAAGAAACTGACACCCAGAAAGGCGTGCTCGAGGTCGTACAGCTTAAACGTATGGAATTTGGGCAGTTTGACGCGGAGTCCATGCTCCACGTGGCAGTCCTGTCGTGCCTCTCAGCAGGGGCAGCGGAGGAACGATGCTGGGAGGTGGACGCTAGCCTGAGGTGGCCAAGGCGTGGCAAGATGAGTGTACAGATCGCAGCAAGGACAGGGGGAAAGTGGTGGCAGGCGGTGTTGGAGGACCAGGCTGGGTTTTGGGGGCCCTTGTAGGCTATGGTAGTGTTACTCTAGGTGTGACGGGAAACCACTGGGAGGTTTGTATCAAGGAAGTAGCGTCTGATGTTAGTTTTCTTGGCTGGAGGACTAGCCGTAAGGTCAGGGAGTGGGGCCACTTGACCATGGGGAAGTAGGAGGGTATCGTTCTGTGCTGGAGGAGAGATGCTGGTGTCTTGGCCTGGGAAAGTGGTTGTAGAGACGATAGTACGTGCTCGAATTCATGATATGCTTTTGAGGGTAGAGCTGCTGGTGTGGGCTTACATCTGGCGTGTGAGGAAAAGGGCGAAGTCATGACCTCCTCGGTTTCAGGCTGGGAGAACAGTGGTGCTGTTGAGGGAGCAGGGAGAAAGGGCTTGGCCGCGAAGGTCATGAATTCTGTCTTGGACAACTTTCAGATGCCTCGTAGACCTAGTAGTACCAGAGCTAGTAGTAATAGGAAGCACTATGTAGCCGTAAACTGTACTGGGCAGGGTTTTAAGCACTTTCACGTGTATTAATTAATTTCATCCTCGTAACAGTTATACGTGCTAGAGATCATTATGATCCCCATTTTACAAATGAGAGGACAGAGGCACAGGTTGGTTAAAAGTGGCTGGCCTAAAATCACCCAGCCTGCAAGTGACGGAGCCAGGATTCAAAACCAAGCAGTCTCTGGCTTCGGATCCACACAGTTAATGTCTGTAACCACCTATAAGTTGACTGGTTGAGTAGGTAGTTACAGACATTAACAGTACGTTTGATTTACGCATTTGGAACTTAGAGGAATGGTCAGAGCTGGATACTCAGCATTTACATTTCTGAAAAGAAAGCCTACTTTTGTGCCTCATCTAAGCCTTGGTTGGCGATGGAGTAAAGAACGCAGGCAGTTGGGCCATGCTGACTAGACTTTGGTTACTTTGCTCGGTTCATACGGCCAATATCCAGGATCCCCTTTCTATGAGGTTCTATGAGGGTGAGGTCTGTATGTTTTTTACTTCTCTGTCTCTGGTTCCTAATCCAGTGCCTGCCATGTAGTAGCTGTTAGGGATGACTTTATATGTAAGACATTTGATTAAGTTTTGGGAGTTCAGAGATGAATAAATCATAGCACTCTCCTTGGAGGAGCAGAGTGTGAGGAAAAACCTGTGGGAATAAAACCAGAGTAGACTAAATGCATAAATACATGTTGATTATTTCATTCTGGCCTTCTGCAGCCCCCCCCCCCATCCCCCACCCCATATACTTGAGGGATGGGGCACGAAGAGGGTCAAAGGAGCAAAAGAATGCCTTAGCAATTGCATGGTGAATTTGAGGCTCCTCTTCCACAAAAGAATTACTCATAATCTTGCATATTTTACTATACTTGCATTAGTTTTATTTGGCAACGGTGTAATTTTTACCAAATGAAATAAATTCTGATATTTTAGTATCATTGTGGAGTGATGAGTTTTTCCAGTTCTATTACCTCAGTGTTGACAGGACTCACTAGTGAAATAAGGGAGTTGGCTTGAGATGTTGCAGCTTGCATAATAGAGGGTGATGCAGGGGCTGTGTGAGGTATTTAGGCAGGTTTCCACTGGTTTCAGTGTATCACGCCAAAGTTCCACATATTGGAGTAAGTTTCAGTTTCTCTGCTGATGATCTCTTTAACACTTGAGATATGTATATATATACATATACATACATATATATATATATTTTTGTCATAGAAAGGGGATCTGGTGGTGTATGTCATAGGTGGAATTATAGATTACATCTCATATCTGGAATGTGGTAGAACCTAGAAACTAGAACAATATGCACAAAAATAAGTGTCTTCTGTAGATCTCTGTAAGGGTATACTATAACTTCAATACATTTGTCACAATTTTATTACTTCCTATCAGGAGTTTTTGAAATTTGAACCATTACAAGATTATATAAAATTGCACCATGGTAGATTTTGGATTAATTTCAGAGTTTTTTCTTACAGTATATAAAATTATATCTTGTTTAGCTTTTTTAGCTTTCCATGGGAGAGTTGATCTGGATAACCCGGTTCACCATCACTCTAAACATCTAATTTTTTTTTTTTTAATATTTATTTATTTTTGAGAGAGAGACAGAATGTGAATGTGTTAGGGGCAGAGAGAGAGAGAGAGAGGAAGACACAGAATCCAAAGCAGTCTCCAGGCTCCGAGCTGTCAGCACAGAGCCCGACGCAGGGCTCAAACTTGTGGACCGTGAGATCATGACCTGAGCCGAAGTTGGACGCTCAACTGCCTGGGCTACCCAGGCGCCCCTTCACTCTAAACATCTAAACAGGAACCCTCCACAAATACAGATGTGCCATCTTGTTTTGCAAATTTTAAATCTGCTATTGTTGCTTCCCTAAATTTAATGGAGTTGAAATGATTAGTATTCCTTTATACCACAATCACAGCTGGCTTCCCCAGGAATATCAGATATGCATAAATGGTACAAAGTATCTTGAAGGGCCTGCTGATTGTTCAGCCTTAGTCACTTTTTAAGTTTAAACTTAGCGAGGGCAGGTTGATGGTTATTTAATTGTGCTAGATTGTGGTAAGTCTTCCTGTTTGCAGACAGAAGCCCCTCTTTCTAAATGTGACCATCCTAGATAACTTATACAATCCAGATTCTTAAAAAAAAACAAACTATATTTACATGAGCAAATTTAGAAACTACTACTTTATGTTAAGAGTACACATTTAAATATATGGAAATTGTTTCTTCTAGAAAATTATGTCTAGCCCAGTGATGATATGTAGTGGCCATTAAATATAATTTCTAAAATTCTACTTGTAGTTTCTTTTATTCCTGCATACTACCTTCAACTTATATATGTGTGTACATATGTGTATACATTTATATTTTCTGTATTTGCAGTAAAAGCTGAATATTAGTTGTGTCCTTTTACTTAGCATTGTAAATGATTGAATATAT